CTTATGTAAAACAGAATAAATTCATATTAGATTATAAAATGGCTTTTAAATTAGACAATCTTTCATTAAGTTTATATTAATAAGAAATAAATTTATATTTAGAGAAAACTTTAAAAATCAATAAATTCATTTTATTGTATGTAATAATTTTTTAATAAAAATTATCAACATGATAAAATACAACTTTTTCTTCTACGAAATTATAATTTTCTAATAAATAATAGTTGCTTATTTTAACTTTCTTTTTTTTTTTTTGCTATTATATACATATGACGATACAAAGTTTAATAATTCATTCGTACTATTATCATTTAAACAAAAGCAATATATCACAAATATATTCTTCCTTACGTTCAATCATAAAGTGAATCAATAGAACAAAAATAATAACCAAAGTCGTCTTTCCTATAAAATCGAATATTATTCATATTACTAAATATGCTATTTCTCTCTCTCTCTCTCTCTCTCTCTCTCTCTCTCTCTGTGTGTGTGTGTGTGTAAAAATTTCAAATATTTTAAGGACCAAAAATTCTTTTAAATAGACTATATATCAGCGTCTGTTAATTTGAAATAATAATTTGAGGTACTTAACACCGATCAAATTCGGTTTTAAATCTCCCAAATTAAATTAATGATGTAAATTATATTTTTTACAGGAATGTCGCAATAGCAGCTGGCCTAAGTATGTACGTCCAACTGCCGGTCGGACTTTGCAGTTTCTGCCATGCATCGGTTTGCCTTTGTGCCTGCCTCCAGCCACCAACACCAGCGACATCGAGTCCGACACTTGATCGTATGAGCGAGTCAATCAATGTAACGCCTCACTGATTCTTTATTACATTAAAAATATTTTGCTACCCATCCTTTATTACTTATGCATAGAATTATATGAATTGTACAAAGTACAAGCTGAACTTGAAAGAGTCGACTTGAAATATATTTGTTGTACTATTTATTAAAACAGATCTATTCCAAACATATTATTCACCATAGCTATGCTTTTTTATTATTCGAGATTCTATCATACGTAAAGCCGTGAATATTTACAAATTCTCTTAAACAAAGTTAAAATAATTTAAAGAATTATTATTTTCTTATTCTTTTTTAAATTTATTTTCATATAGTTTTGAAATTGTTAGTTTTTGTACATATTCTATTTTAAATTCTGTATATATTTTAATATTTAACTTAAGGTAATGAAACAAATTCTTATAAAACGGTACTATTAAATTTATAAATAAAATCATACAAATATATGATTTTTAAAATTTTATGTTTTTTGATAGTAAATGTTTAGCAAACATAAAATATGATAATATCAGTTATCTTAATAAGGTAAAATAAAGATTATAGCAATATCAAGATCGCTTATATCTTTATATAAGAATACTTAAAATCCAATAAAAATCTGTAATTAAATCATTCTAATTTTCATTAAATCATTGTAACTTAATCTATCTTACGTGGTATTCTTTTAGTTGCAGTAATGCAAGGAAAAGTAATAAGTTACATCTCTTAACATCATATTAATATGAAAGATTTGAAAATTCAAAAATTGACTAAGTTGTTCCTTAATATCTTCACGCAGAAGACGGAGAACATTTTTCGCTTACTACAATAGGCGACTGAATAACTCATATTTTGTGTAACACATTTATTATATTTATACCTACATGGATCTGCACTACCTTTACCAGTGATTTATTGATAAAGTATAAAACATTTTAATTACATATTTTCACAATATAATAAATAATTTTAAATTAATAAAAGCCTTGAAAATTTATAATATAAACTAATTAATAAAAAATTATTTTTATCTAGAATTAAGGGATAGTTTTTTTATGTCTTACTATTTTTTTATTAAAAGGTGTTAAATCACAAAATGTAGAGATTTTAAGTACAAAAGTATATGGACCTTAAATTTTTGTATTTAGCTCTTCTTTTTCAATTTACATAACTTGATTACCAATACCTATAATGACTAATGAAAATCTGTAAAATATACAAGATTCTAACTATGAAAAGGTTCATTATGGAATTCCATTTTCAAATTTATAGAAAGTCTATTAAACATAAAATAAAGGTCAATTTTTGACGAATTTCATTAACGATAGAATTTATTTAAAAATCAATTTAATTATTTTTTCAATAATGATGAACTTCAACATTTTAAATATATTTTTAACTATAGTTAAATGAATAAATTTAATATATTATGTCAATTAGGAGATTTAATTATTTAAAAATAATTGTTTTTTTAATAATTGTGTTTGTAAAAAAATTTGCATCTAATTCAATGATAAATATAAATTAATTTTAGTTCATTCTTATTATTATTAAATCTAAATATCACTATTAACTGATTCAATAAACTTATCGTTTAAATTTTACTAGAATCTTTTAAAGACTAAAATATACTACATTATTAACTGATCGTTTTTATTTTTTATCTACGAAAAGAATCTTAATGGTTAAGTTAAAAATTGTAAACAAATAAATGTTACAATAAAATAATATATCAATTCATTCAAAAGGTATATTATTTATTTCTTCGTAATAAGAGTATATTGCTTTGTAAAATGTATTTGAATTTCAAAATAAAAAGTATTGTATTTAGAAAATAACGTATTTTTAATAAACGTTGTATTTATGCGTATTTCAAATTGAGTATAGATTAATTATATTTATAAAAATTTATATAACATATGTAATTTATATAAATGTTATTCTAAATAGATATACTGGATCACTTAACTGGTATTATATGTATGTGTATAAATGTACTATTAGTATATCCATAACTGTTAAAACTGTGTACACCATTTAAAGAACATAGACTAATTTATTATAATTGTATATTTGTTGTTTTGATAAGTAATAAAATGTAATTAAATAAAACATAAAACAAATATATATATAAATTATTTATGCATTATAACATTTTATTCACACTACGAATTCTAGTCAATAATATCCATGTTTATACAATGTAATAGGAAATAATGATTACATACTTTTTAAAAATTAATTTATACATATTGAATTTATACATATGCATTTTCTTTTTTCTTAATAAAATTATATATTTTATATTTTGTTATCCGGCCTACAAAGCTCATTAAAAATAAATAAAACATAAAATGAAGCAATTCGTAAAGTCAATACGTAACAAAATGATTTATATATCTTATATTGCATTATATATTGAAAAGTTTTAGAGTGTATTCAGAAATGCAAACATCGTTTTCCACAATTTCAGGTAATTTATAAAATCTTTATTATTCTTAATTTCTAATGAATAAACATTCTCATTGCTGTTTTATGCTATTTTTTTGTTAAGTATTATATTTTATTTTATAATAGTTCATTATTATATAATAGTTAAATAATAAATAATAAATAATAAATAAAAAAAAACATAATAGTTAAATATTATATAAATTTACATAACTAAATTTAAATTTATCTAAAACGTTTGACTACAAAATACAACGACAAAACTTTTTTATTCTTAAATTTAATAAAAAATAGTAATTCTCTACGATTTATACATTTATTGAAAAATAATGTTTGTTTTGTTTTTTCTCCGTTTTATTCGAATAACAGGTTTACAAATTTTATTAAAATTTTATTAACATTTTATTAAAATATAAAAAGTTTATTTTATATTAATATATAAAATATTTATATCAATTTATTTAAATTAAAATACAAATTTCTAGATTTTATTTACACTTCCATTTTACATTTCCAAGTCATTGCTTATATTCTTCCATGCTTATATATTCTTAAAATTTTCATATAAGTACTTAAATATTTTGACAATTAATTGTTTCGTCGGATGTCATTCGTAAACAATAATGTAAATTAATTTATTTTAATTTTATTACCAAATAATTTATTAGTTAAATATTAGGTTAAATTGGTTAAATCTAACCAATTTATATTGTTGACCTATAATTACGCCAATTGGTGGATAATAATATACATTTTAAAGACAATTTGTTTTCAATGATTTCTTTCATAAAAATAAACAAATTATTAAATTGAGTTTACAAATTGATATTTATCTCAATCCACATGACGAAATTACCTATTTTATTCGTAGAAAGATGACTGACGTAAATAAATCATCAGTTTGATATAATGAAGAGGTTGCTTAGACCGGTATCAGGAGAGTATGAAAGTTAAAGAATAAATCTAGGAAAGAAAAGATGGTAAATTTTCAAATAAAGAAGAGGTTGATTAGACTGCTATCAGAAGACCATGAAAATTGCGAAATCAATACAGTCAAGAAGAGATTGCAATTTTTTAAATAAAGAAGAGGTAGCTTTAGTTGGTATTAACATAACATGAAAACCGAGAAATGAAGAGCCCAAAAAGAGATTTCAATTTTTGGAATAAAGAGAGGTCACTTATACTTCTATTAGGAGAATATGCAGCGAAGAAGAGTTAATTATAATCAAACTCACCAAGCTAATACCAGATGGCGCACATTATTGTAACAAGATTGCAACACCGTTCGAATATTTTGAAAAATAAAAAAAATTGTTATATTAAAATTATTTAATTAAATAATATTTGGTTAAAATCATATTTCGTCGAACTATTTATTAAATCGTAATTTATTAAAGTTTTTAACTGAATATTAAATTTATAAATATTTTCCTTTAAAATAATTTACAATCAATTTCATGGAAAAATGCTTATTACAAAACGCATAAATAATATGAAAATTATTTATTTTTAAGTATGCACTGTATATTCAAATCATGTGAATTAAAAAGGTATATTATACATTGTTCTAGTATTACATTAACCAAATCATAATTAATTTATAACGATACTCTATAGCGCAATAAGATTAAATATTTTTACTTTACTTTATTTTTATAATGATGGTTTAATAATTTTTTTACAAACAAGAATAAAATTTATTAAGTAGCAAATAAAATCTATACGAATATAATATAAATTATATTTTTAAATTTTATATAAAAATAACTAAATGCTTAAACTTTAAATAAATATAAACTTATTTCCTTAATGTTGTACCTTTACAAGTAATATTTAAAATACTTGTTAAAAAATACTCATTTATTTTCATCAATATTGATTACTCATAAAAATTCTTTAACAAGTATTCAAAATACCAATAAAAAAATTGAAATAATTTTTTTGATGTTTGCTTCAATATATATTATTGAAAATATATGCATCAAATTATTATGAATGATATTTCGGTCTTCACTTTATTAAAATTAGTCAGTTGATGCATGATAATAGTATGCATATATTTTTATGTTTTATACATCATATTCAATATAATTAATAATTCATATAATTATAATTCAATATAATTAAGTTAATGTTGATGGAAATACATTTAATATCTGGTTTGAAAAAAAAGATCACTTGAAAATTTCTGTACTTATCTATACTTTATTTATTTTTCTAAATGTAATGATTTACTCTATTAAGCATGCTAAACTATGAAAAAATATTATTTAAAAAGTCGTAAGATACCTTATAATATTAATTATTAAACATAATGATGACAGCTGTTTTATTTAATCTTACATTATACACACAATTTTAAATACTCATAATTACACTTTTTTAATATTACAACAAATACCTATATACACTTGTTTAACAAAACGAAACCTTATTAACTAATAAGAAAAGAATTCCAATTTTCTTATTTCCAATTAAAGATTAAAAAACTCAAGTAATATACATGACAAGTATAACTCGTAATTCAAAATAATGCAAGTGAGTATATTGGAATAGTATTTCATTTACATCTAATTATAATAGAGAGAGAGAAGTACATTATTACGTTAAACATTAATTACAGTTTTTTTCAGATACAATTAAAAACTAAAAATCTAAACCGATATACATTTACATTATGAGTTTAATCTGTTGCCTCTGAAGTTGCCTGTGCGGTATCCAAAATAATTTCAAAAGAAAATGGAGTAAAGCTATAACCTTGACCAAGATAGAATTTACTTTGGAACTCAACCCTAAAAAATCAGAAAAGAACAATGTTAATTGTTAAAATTTTATTGAAAATAATACATCTTTTCATTATTAAACGAAATCTAAAATAATTTATAATCGATAAAATATTAAAAATTATTCAATATTGATAATGTAATATATCAGATATAGTGTTATAAAGTCTTCATACTTGAAATAAATCATAAATACCATATTTTAAATCTTAGTTATTAATTTCTTGATTCACTTACGTAAATATAATATGTGCTACAAAATTTTTTGTGTCAGAATTTTTAATACATCATTCATTGCAAAATAACCTGTAGAAATATCAATGTACAAATATAAAATTTATTTATATTTGAAACTTACCAATGGAGCCTAAGAGTGTGAAGGAAAGCTGATAATCCTTCCATTAGTACCAGAATTCCTACAGTTAAAACTGCCCAAAAGGCAAAAATACCCCAAAGGATAATACCTCCTCCCCAACCTTCTTGAGTTAAACCATTCTTCATTACCATATTCCACAATACTTCAGATAATTCTATATAAAATAAAGAAATTTTATTATGTATGAATTATTCAAATAATATTTTACTTTGTATCTATTGATAATGGAAATATAATATTTGTAACAATTACTACCTGTACATTAGGATCAAATTTACACGTTAAAAATATTTATTTTACATTTTAATAACAACATATTAAATAATATTTCACTTAATAATACAGATAATTATACAATAAAAATATAAATAATATATATTATATTTTCTAGGTAAATATTATATAATTAACAATTTCAGTTAATTTACATTTTCAATATTTTAAATTATAATCAATTTATAAGATTTGTAAAATAAACACAATTATTATGGGATATATTAAAAACATCAAGATAAAATTTTTATTTATTTTTATTTAAAATATTTAAAATATTTTGTCATGTTTAATATACTATATAATTAATTTTTCTCAATATTAGTTATACAAAATCAAAATATTAGTTTATAGTCTACATTGTTCAAAAGGTACAATTAATTACTTTAATGAACTATTTTTAAATACAGTTGTAATCTAATATTGAAAAATTTAAACATTTTAAACTGCGAGTTATATTTTAAATACTTAACTCTTTTTTAATATTTAATTCATTTAGAAGGAAACTTACGTGCATGAGCAAGAGACAATGCCCAAAGCCGGAGATAAGAAGCGGTATGTGATACACTGCCCAATACATATTCAATTGTATGAATTCCTTGATGAATGAAGATCTCTGCCATATCTTCTTCTTCTTCCTCTTTATGTGATGGTACTTGTCCTTGCGATTGCATTACGCCCGAACCATCAATGTCGCCATTTTCTGTACCGTGACTATTCAACTGCAGAATAGTTAATTTATATTATATTTAAGTAAATATAATGATAAAAAATCTAGAGTTCTACTTGCTTTAATAACATGTATACATACATTCTTTTCATATCCAGCAAAGTAGATTACATTGTCCAGAGAGAAATTGAACAGTAAAAAATAAGTATTAAACATCTTTAAATATTAAAAATTATAAGTATTATCTTTTAAGAATATAGGATAATCTAGTTCTTATAAAATTTATTATTATATAGATTGTGAAATACCTCATATTATTATCAGATAAAAACTATCATTTAATTTTTGTAATTTTTAACGATATATATTCTGATCAATGCTATGATCTGTATTCATATATATATATTTATATAAATAATATTACTTATGCATACAAACATACAGGCATACGTACATACGAACATGCACACAGACGCGCGCGCGCGTATAATAACAATTGATCATTCATCAATTGCTGGTAGGGATGATTGATGGTAGAGAACAATTGATGGTAAAAAGATGTTACGATTCAAAGTGGTACTGCTTGTGTAGAGTATTTAATACGAATGAATAAGACGACTTAGAAATTGACTCACTCTAATTGAAAGGCAAAATTGTTTAGAAAAATCATTTCAAAATTTAACACTGTTTTTTTCATACATCATTTGGTAAGCGATTGATAAAAAGTTAAAATGCAGAAGAAATGGTTTGTGAAATTTTACACACAAAAGTATTTGATAGTCTCGAACTTACTACGTTTTTAAGAGAGATAATGAGATCTTCATCGAATACTAAATTGCTATTTATAAAAATTATAAAAATTATAAGTATTCGTTAATTTATATGGGTAACCATGCGAGTATTTAAGATGTAATTCGACGTAACGATTGTTGCTATAAATGTATTATCCCTGCAATTATTGTTTGTTACGTATACTATTAAGCGTGTCCAACTCGTTTGTGTAAATACTACTATTATTTTTATGTTCATGTGTTTGGTTAAACTATACTATACACTATACTATGACCTATCATATTCTTTGATATATATTTATTATTAATCATGATTTGTATTCAGATTTTTCCAACATACTTTTTTTTTCTTTTTGATTTTTTTATTTATGATAATATATTAAACCGCTTTTAGGAATTGGGTAAGAGCTTTTAAACCGTTCATCATTATAGCACGTAAACAAGTAAAAACGTCTTACACGCAATAATTATTAAAAATATAACAAGATTGTTCCTTCAATAAGAGATATCTATATATATATATATATTATTCGATATATAAGACACATAATATATAGGCTCTATTACTGAAGAGAGATATAAGCACTTATATGCGTCTTATTAATTTCCTTAGTAAAAAAACCTACGTGTTATCATTATGAAATGTATACATTATTTACAGATCAAGAGTTCTAAGTACTCTTACTCGATTTTTTCAATTTCATATTCTCGTAAGCATGGTCTTGGAGCTCACTCTGTCATTCCAAACTTCGGTAGTTCCTTAAACAGCTCACCCTGTTGCAACTTGTATGCTTCCTCTAAATGATTTCGTATACTTAACATTTTCCTTTCCAATTGCTAAATCTGATTCTAATTATTACCCGGTAACTTCCGATTCATTTCGTCTTCTTAACCGTATTTCGACACCCGTGACAATATGTAAACGTTCAAACATATCATTTTAAATAATCCATATTACAAAAATGGAACTTTCGTATATTTATAACTTAGTGTCGTTCTTAAATATTAAATAATTTGATATTAATGTTTAAAATTATTAATTTTTGTATTTCATTTTAATATATACATATTTTTTATATAATAGCTTATAATAGAATATTTGTGAATTTAAATTATGGATAGTTTTTGTACCTGCATATGTTTTTTCTTTCGTTCTTGCATCATCATAATAGGCTTAGCAAATAGCATCCATGGAATGCAGAGTACACCAATTATAACTAGGAATTTTTCAAGTGAATATTGACCTCCATACATATAAGGATCGCATGGAGGTAGCTTAGTTGGGGACTTAAATAGCACCATATTAATGAAAGTAATAAGAACGGATGGAGCACAGTAAGAGCTAGTAGTCACATCTGAATAAAGATAATATAATATTTTACACAAATTTTAGACTGAAATTACTAAACCTATCTGTAAAAATATAAGAAATAACAAATATATAAAAATGCTCACCAGGATTGTAGACAGGGTGAATAGCCGCATATTTGACCCATTTAATAAACATGAGTGAAGTCATGTAGAAAAAAAGAAATACCAGAAAGATGATTTGAGGTATGAATTCGCAAAGTATGTTGAGTCTCCGTTTAAAGTACAGATGATTAAAGAGACCGACTATTACTCCGAAAAGCATATGTATTACACCAAAAATAATAGAAATCTTCATTTTGTAAGAATTGAGAAAAATTATTTTATTTTCGGATAATTGCCAAACTGGATCCATGCCGATTGGATATGGATGCTGAATGTAATCGGTGGTAGGGTTTAATTGCAGCACTCGATTGTTGATTACATCAGATCTTGTATAATTAACGGTCCAATACGTCCCAAAAACATTCAACGATTTAGAGAATACATCATTGTATATAAAACCTGCAATTTTATTTTATTTTCATTCTTTAATGCCATATAATACTCTATTATGCAAAATAAACTGATTAAAAATTATACTTTAGTTACAATCAGATTAAATTCAACTGTGATTTTATTGTATTTAAGTTTTTCCTATATAACAAATTTAAGTAACAATATTTACATAAATATGAACAAATTATTTATTAAAAGAATTTGAATATTAACAATATGTTAGTAAATTGTATTTTTAGATATAATGACTCTAAAATTAAAATTTATTTGCATATTCACAAAAATAGTATATTCTCAATGTGTAATATTATTTTTTATAATATTATATTTTTACATACTGGATAAGGCATAATAAAAGATTTATTTTTATTACAATTCAATTCAATATGAAAAATTATATAAGCTATAATTATCGAAATTTTGAACATTAAAAATTCTCTCTAGTTTACATATACATTTTCTTTACATTAAGATTAATAAGTTACACATGTATATATATACCTTATCATTTTTTTCAAAAAATAAATTTTTTTTAATAAATTAAGTAAATGTCAAAATTTTTTTCAGTATACGAAAAATTTAAATTACAGATGAATATATTTTCGACAATTTTGTTGTTGTAACTTTAATGTAACATTAAAAATAAAAGGAATAATTAATTTCGTCATTTATTTAAAAATAAAATTGTAAAGGGAAGTAGAACTATTTATATCACTATTAAAAAATAAAGATTTCAATGCTATAGTTACTCAGTCTTATGATTTATTTAAAACTGAGATGTGAAATGGTTAAAAATTTTGCCACACATTTGATAATGACATATGTATTTATATTTTTAACCTCCATAATTGTATATAAAATTAATGTAAGTCTTTCAAACAGTTGCTAGCAATTGTAACACTATATCGAAAATTTGTAAGAGAAATATGCTAACAATAATATGATTTATTTTTTTTAAATTAATCTTCTAATTATACTATTCACTTTTATAAATTAACTTTTCGTTTTATTTTTTAAATTAATACTTTTACTTATTAAAATGGACTATATCTGTAACTATTTTTTATAGTCTTATATTTCTGAGTATAATTAAACTCCGTATAATATAACTTCGTTAAAGACGAAATATGTTGAAATACATAATGTAAAAAACAAAGATTTAGAAGAGCCTTCTATGAAAAGTCATAGAGGAAAGAACGAGTGTATTGATGAATAAGAGAGAGAGAGAGAGAGAGAGAGAGAGAGAGAAAGCAATAATAAGTGAAGAACTGAAAACCCGATAGATGTATTACAAAAACAATTTATTATTTAAAAAAAGTTAGGTCTTTTTTGCGAAACGCAGTGAAAGTCAAAAAGCCAACGACATTAAAAAGAATTATCTAAAGTTATACCCGATATTTGGATAATAAAAAGAAATAGAAATCATTCTCTTTTTATTAAAACTGGAAAAGAAACAAAAGCATATAAGTTTATCTTAATAAGTGCTTTTGAATTCTCATGCATCTTTTTCGAAGAAATAAAATAGATTCATTTTGCAATGAGATATAATAAACGAGTAACTTGCCAGCGCAACAAGTTCAAATAGAGTATCATCGTATACTTTTCACAAAATATTCATATCATGAATATTACTTCATTTCTTTATTCGAAAATTTCAGAGTTTTCCATCAGGTACTGTCGCTTATTTATTTTGGTTTACAACAATGGTATTTACCCATACTTATCAAATATAATTTTGACTTCAACTGTAGATATAAAGACATATATATGAACAAAGTATGAGTTTACTCTAATATGAAAAAGTTCGATTATAAATTAATAAATAGCATTAATGCAAAACAATTACAATCTTCTGATTGAAATATAGAATTATTTGATAATTTAAAATTACTTTCACACTGAAAGCTTTTACCTGTATACATAGAGAAAACTCCCATGAGAAATATAATGTAACGACCACCAAAAAATATGTTCCAGATTTCGTTATCAGATTTCTGGGCCGCAAGGGGCTTTTCCTTAAGAACCATCCAGCCTGCGAATAGGAACATAATTAGTCCATGTCCAAAATCTCCGAACATCACAGCAAAAAGAAAGGGAAAGGTAATGATGGTATATGGGGCAGGATTCATTTCACGATATGAGGCAACTCCGTAAGCATCTATCAATGCTTGGAAGCCTTTAGTGAACTTGTTGGTCCGATTATATGTTGGAGGATCTTCGAAGGTCTCCATTCGATTTAAAATTGGTGGTACTGAGCTACCGCTTCGTTCCTGAAAAAAATATTCAAATTTCTGTATTAATATATTTAATTTCCAAACGCTTTATTAAATTATGTGAAGGAACTTGAATCAATTTTAAAATATTTTTTCAATTAATTTTATATCATTTACATAATTGCTTATAATATCCATTATCATTGGGTTATAATCATTTTTTGATCATATAATTACGAAATAAAAAAATGCCACTCGAATTCATATTATAGAAATGTTATTTAAGCGAATGTAAGACAAGTAAAAATTGTAAGTCATATTATAGTACATTGAGGCTTATATAATTTAAGGATAAGTTATAAGTTCAACGATTATGAGATAAATATGAAGGAAATACAAATCTATAAATTCTAAGTAATTAATTAGATAATCTAGACTTCATTGAACCATTTAGTATAATACACTAACGCATTTATTATATATATATATATATACAAAATGTGTTTGTGCATGCATCTACATTTCATGTAGTTCGTTCGTAAAAGTATTATATAATTAATTTATATAAGTCTGATTTAATATTAATTTGTGTTGTGAGAATTCAATATAATAATTGACATCTTATTAAGCGAGCCTTTTAAAAAACATACCTACATTAGAAAATACATTATTCCATTAAATAAAAAATAAATAATCCTGTAACACATTTTTATATATTTTATTTTACTATAAATATTAATTTCAAAACATAGCACTATCCAAATATTTATAAGAAATTTTAAATTTAATTTAAAAATGTTTACTTCTATGATATTAAATTAATTAAAAAATTTTTATTAATAAATATTATAGCGTAGTAGAATACATATTATTATAAAAGAACGTCAAACATCAAATACATATAAAATAAAGCATAGTATAAAATAATTTAATTATAATCATTATTTTTGGCATAAATGCCATAAAATCTAAAACGTTATTAAATTTTTATAACATTTATTATATATGAGAAAGTAAAAACAAAATTAACTTGTTATAACGGCTAATAAGTTACGATAATTGTATTAAGAAGGGTATTCAAATATTTGCTTTTATAAATTAATATATAAACCATCTATACTATACATATATATCTATAGATATTCGAACGATATTTTGATGAATAATTCTTTTATATAGAACATAAAGTAAAGCTTAAAACATTCTCTCGTTCTAATAATCTTTCTAACTATTTATATTTTTTTTTATTTTTATCTCATATTGAACAAAGTATAATGAACATCCTTTTTATAAGTATTCATATTGATTTTTTAGGTCACATAAAATATTACTTTGTTATCTTAAAAAAAAAAAATAAACATAATATATTAATATATTAATAAAATTATAAAAAGACTTACAGTTCCTCGACGAAGAGCTAATTGAATCGTCTCGATATCTAGAACTGGTACCCAACATTCAGCAATCAAACACTTTTGTGTTACATCCAAGTTAAAGAGATTTAAGGTATGATAAATTGCCTTGATTTTCCGCACCTTGATAAACCAATTCTTAATATTTTTAGCTGCAGCAACAAGAACTCGATGTCTATGATCTTGAGTTTGCCCAAGTACCTAAACGTTAATTTCATATGAATAAAAATTAACTAACATGTAAAAACATTTTAATATAGTTTAAATAAAATCTCAAACAAATATTCAAATTTTATGTGTAAAATCTTCTTTAAATACAAATAATAGTTTAATTGAAAACAGATTTCATCTATATTATACACTAAATTATTAAAACCAAAACCAATTCATATATTATGCGAGAGATAATAAGGATTTTAAATTTAAATGAAATTACATTAATGTTCCTATAACTATTATCATTGAAACAGTTAAAAGTAAAAAAAATTAAATAACCAAAGCTCCAGAGCTAACATTTAGTAGAAAAAGAGTTGTATATTTTATAATTTATAATTTGAAGTTTTTTCAGGACTTTTGTAATCAGCTATTTGATTTAGATCTATCTAATGCAGATCTATTTGAAAAAAATTTCGGACTTCGTCAACTCTGTAATTATTTATAATTAAAAATTTCTTAGATTTATAATAATTAAATCACTAGGGTATTCAATCAATAAACAATGTATTAGAAAGTAATGAGTACATTTTTAAAGAAAAATTAACGATATTTTTGAGTGAGTAATTGAGTGTTTGTTTACTAAAGATCTATTTTAGCAAAGCCCCCCAATTATTAAAATCGAATGATTTCAATTCAAAAGATAATTGTAATTTTGATGTGAATGAAATAAATACCATTAACTGAATAAATGCTATGAAACTCTGGTAATTTTGTTAAATCTTACGGTATTTAAATCTTCGATGCGCGTCAATACTCCCATGGCCATTTCGCGCCGGTCTGCAGGTGCTTCCGGACATGGGTACAGGGTAGCGCGGAATCCCTCGCAAATTTTCTTCACTCTCGTCTTCAGCTGATCACCTTGGAAGAATATTATGAACACGGATTTAAATACTTGATCACCCTGGATTGAAAGAAGAAAGAGCCAATATTATTACAATGAATTAATCATTAAAAGGCATAATTTACATTTTGATAAATTACTACTTTGATTAATTTCTAAATATCATTATAAACAGTGCCTTTTTTCATTTTATTATTATTATTTATTTTTATCATTGAAATCTATCAGTATAGATAAGTAATTGATGTAACAAAAGATATTTGTAATCTAATGGAGACTGATATATACAAAATTATTATAATAATAAAATCACAATTGCATAAAATTGTACCGTTAAAAATTATTATTTCTTTTTAATACGTTTACAAAATAACGAGGAAGTTAACAAATATCTATTTAATAATTGATAAAACAATAAATTAGTTCAGGAAAACTTATACGAAGAACTTGAGTTATTATAGTCACGAAGTGCTACTTAAGTTAAAATTATAAACAAAGCGACAGCTTAAAAAACATACGCTCACCGTGGATGGATCCTCGAGGGGCGTCTCAATCTCAGCTTGTCTAAGGAAGACATTGCCACGACAAGCTCGCCATAGCATCCTCTCAAATGCTGGAATTCTTTCTCGAAGAATGACACCGGCGACAAAACTATAGAATGTATAGAATAAATTTTTATTAGATTCAGGTTGCAGTTGCTTGTTTTTTTTAATTTTTTTAAACCATTAAGGAGGAATTATTTATTAAGGAACAGAAGGAAAATCCATTATTAACTAAGAGATTAGGAGTTTTTTTTTTAAGAATTTGAATTAATAATAGAGGGACAGAGAAGTCACCGAGTTGTTTAAGGGCTCACACATGAGTTATTGCTACATACTTTTATTTCTATTTTCCATTCCGCAATTACTGTCTGAAATCCTTAGATTTCTCAGAGTTTATTCTTGGCAATGAATTTAGTGAAATTGAAAGTTCATAATGTATATTTTCAACTATAATGGATATAATTATCTAACGCTTCTTTTTTTATATTAACTATGCAGTGCCTTTAATTATGTATAAGAAGAATAATTGTATTATATTTATAATAACTAAGTGAAGAAGTAAATTGTCATAATATATTAAACATTTATTCATTTTAATTGAAATAATGATTTTTTAATAATAATATCCCGAAACTTAAGTTTTCAAAGTTTGGACCACACATTTAATCAAAAAATAATATTTCAACAAAAGAAATATAACAATTTGTGATAATTTAATTAAAATATTTCAAACTTTTATTATGATAAAAAAGAATTCTTAGGTAACTTTTTCTTGGGTTTTTAATCTCTATTGATTAGCACTAAAAAATTTGTTATATACACTTGTTTATTGTAAAATGAGTAGAAGGATCATTTTTAAATATGTTAAAAAGAATGTAATTTAAAAATTTTTAATATTTCAATCGAAAGACTATAAATGTTATTTGTAATTATGTACGTATTCTATAATAAATTTAAAAGAATCAAAATTAAATTACTTAATCAATTTTTTAAATTTTACAAATTAGAACCATTATTCACATCATTATTCGTATCATTTATAAATAATTTTTTCACATATATCATTAAATAATCACAAAGTCTCAGTAATTATCAAACTCATGCAAGACTTATTAAGTTCATAGAAAAAGACAAAAAAATAAATTTTATAAAGAATAAGAGACAAATATAAAAAATTAAAAATACATTGAACGTAAAGACGGCGAATGATGATTTATGTAGCCATGGTTGTATGTAATATAACTTCAAAAACATAACTTACAATTATATAGAAAAAACAAGTGTATACTCAGCTGTTTCTCCTTTCCATTCTGCCCTCCGACTCTATCATCTCCTTTCCCTTTCTCTCATACAGATCCACTCTCTCTCTCTCTCTCTCTCTCTCTCCCCCCCCATAAATTACCAATAAACGTATATTTAAAAATCCTGTTGTATGTAGTAAATATTATATATGATAACGAAGAACAAAAAAAGACAAACTGAATATAAACTATATGTTTCATAGGTTAAATATTAAAAATGAAATGTTCTCAATTTGACGTTGCTGTTCCTTGTATTTTCTTTGCTTTATTTATTTAACTAAAACAATTTTTGAAAAACGTAAAGTAAAAATTTCATAAATATTTATCATTATTATTATTATATATATATATATCATTTCTTGTATAAATGTACTTCACAATAAATAATTAATGAATCCATATCCAGTAATCAAATCAAATAAGTTAATTAAATAAAAAGGAAATAATTTATTATTTATTAATTATTGTATTTACTTATAGTACATATTAAAATTAAACGTTTTTTTATTAATTACTAACAAATAAATAGAATAAGATGACGGATAGTGAAAAAACCAATATTTATATTGATTGATTAATTAAAATAAATTTAAACTTTTTATTATATATACTCACAAATTTTTTTCTAATTTTCTTTACTGTTAAAATAATCTTAATTTGTGCAAGTGTGATCTTATTTTGTTTTCAATAATATATATTATATTGTTCTGTTCTGCTAAAGAGTATATAAATAGATAATTAATAATCAAAAATAATCATGGATTTAATTAGTAAAATGTTGTATACAATGAGAGAAATGAAAGTAGAGGGATAAATATACAAAATTAAGAAAAATAGGGCGAGGGGATTACGTAATAAGCAAGTTTTCTATTATTATAATATAATACTTATGCTACAATAATTTAAATAACTTGTAATTCTAATGTTTATATTTACACAAAATATCTAATCACATTCATTAATTTTATTGTTTGTCCTTACAAAAATGAATTTTTAAAAAATATTTTAATAAAATACTTGGAAGTTATTTAATTTATGAATACAATATGAACAGGTCTGTTTTAAATAAATGAAAAAAATTCAATTTTCAAATGAAACAAAACGATCACATCATGTCATTTGCTTAATTTTTTTTGAAAGAGAAATTGAAATTCGAAACCAAATAATCATTTAAATATAACGACTTTTTATTTTGAAAGTAAATGTTGAATATGTTTGTAACGCACATCTATTGAAGAAAATGAAATGATTATTAATTGAGGACTAGTAAGCATATATTAAACACCAATATCGTAGAATCCTATCAGTTTTTCATTAAAATTTGCCAATTATACTCATAAAAACCTAACTAACTAAACATTAATTTATATTGAGCCATAAATTTTATTTAAATATTCATGCAAATTTTTACAGTCAATTCAAATAATAAAGCAATATAGATGAAATTCTTTGGAAAAACAAATTAAAACAAATTTTTTAATTTTAAAGTTATTAAAATATTAATTTTCTTATTATAATTAAAAATTTTAATAATATAATTTGATATTTATTAAAGTTTATTTATGTTCTTTTAAATTATTGTATATTATTATCATTTTTAAAAATATATTTACAATCTATAGGAATAGTTGATCATATAATATTTATACGAATAAAAAATCTATATTGTTATATATTTTATTACAGCAATTTTAATTTTATAAAAACATTTTCAATTCTAACAAAAGTTAGAATTTTTTCGTTTAAAAAGAAATGCTTATTTAAATACGCATCTTCGTATTATTGGAGTCATACATGAAACCTCAATTCTATTATTTCATTTTAAATTCTACATTATGTATTTCATTCGTGTTTTTATAACAATTATAACAAGACTCTAAAAATCTATAAACTCTATAAAATTATAACAAGACTCTTAAAAAATGTCTAAAAGATAATATTAAGTGTTATTTAGAAAGAAAACGTAATTTTACGAATTTTCTATTTATAAATTTTTACTTAGGAATTATTATTTATGAATCTATGAATAAAATTATATTCTATTTAGTTATCAATTATATGTATCCTGGAATCATCTTAGAAATATATCATGTGAGGGAATCATTTCAATTAAAATCAACCTCAATACATTTGACAAAAAATACCGAGAATTAGTAATTTTAAGATTGTAAATATTAATAGATATAAAAAAAACAAAAGGATCAATTAATAGATACTGATATTAAAAGAGAGAGCATGCCTAGCACATGATAACGAAGTAACAATAGAAATGCATACATTTTTCGTTTTGATAAATTTTTGACAAGTCCATAAAATGGTTACCTCATTTACAAAAACTTAAACACACTAATTATTCCTACTATTAAATTTTTTTATCTCATCTTAGTTCAAATAAGTAATTGGTTTGAATATGATTAAATTTGGTTGGTACATGATTTCTTAGATGAATTTTTCTGATAAATTAGTAATTAAGAAGGAAATAAATAAAATAGTATATCTATTTTATCTATACATTAAAATAGCAACTAATTAATATAAAAAATATCTACAAACAGAATACTCACATACAGTCCCATATCTATATAATTATTAATAAAAAAATTCAAGCAGTAGGAAGTCTCTCATAGAACTTTTTGTTTTCATAATAAAATTTTTAAAATTATAATAATAAATGAAAATAGTACACATAAATATACACACACATACACACACACAGAGAGACAGAGACAGACACACACATGTATACAATATACAATATTTGTATAGTATATACAAATATATACAGGGATAGCGCGTGTGCGTGTATGTATAGTTTTTATTTATTATTATAATATATATATATATATATATATATATATATATACATATTTGTTTATTTATTTATTTATTTATTATCACGGAAATCGTTATTTTTACCATCGAGGATTAACGCACTTATAACAACAATTAGAATTTAATTTTCCTTAGTAGTAAGTACTTGCTACTTTAGAATAACGTTCCTCAGCTCAAAATTTGGTAATCATTTTATTTTCATTAATCAAAGCACTTTAATTATAAAGATTTGCAAACCCTTGCTTATCCACTGAAAAATAATTTATAAAATATTATAAATATATTTATTATATTTATATAATATTGTAATATATAAAAAGTGTCTAAACTTAACCAGGCACAGGAGCGTACGTATAAAGAGAAACGTAAGTTAGTAGTCACATGTAAGAAGTGAAATGTAGAATAAACAATATTGATTAATAACTTGGCTTGTATATAGTCAACCGCAAATAGTACATTCATCGACACGGCAACCAAGATATTTTTGCCGGTTTCCGTGAGCTTAATTTAAAGATAAGCAAAGGTCTGAGGCGTATCAGTGCTTCTTCACGGCAATGGCGTCGCTAATCCACGAGGATGTTTGAGCTCTGCAGCAGCTAAAGGTGTACGTACCCCAGTTGAACAGGACCGAGGACAGTCTGGCGGGCAATATTATCGTCGCTAATCAATGCGCGTGTCATGGATTCGGTGGAGTTCAAGCCTGCGTGCTCTTGCTGACGACACAACAGACAAGACACAATTAACCGCATTAGCACACTCTCAACACACCATAGCATTATACTTCAAACATCACTCTACCGCCCTTTTATTTCAATAGTGATTGCCGTAATTATTTTATTATTGGCAGCTCTAGTGACCTTTCAGCATCTGTCCATTTTTAAGATTGTAATTACGTTTTTGATCAGTCAAAGCTACATTTTTATATGCATATATATATAAGACTAATATTCACTTCATAAATTACCTTTACGTTTTA